CCCCCCACTTCCAGGTGTCATTGTAATATATCCCCCCCACTTCCAGGTGCCATTGTAATATATCCTCCCACTTCCAGGTGCCATTGTAATATATCCCCCACCCCCACTTCCAGGTGTCATTGTAATATATCCTCCAACTTCCAGGTGTCATTGTAATATATCTCCCCACTTCCAGGGTGGATGCCGGTGGATGTGGTATATCTGGATTTCTCAAAGGCTTTTGATACGGTACCACACAAACGCTTGCTACACAAGCTGAGGGCTATGGGCATAGATACCAGATAACCAATGTTATTCTCTTCCCCTCTCAGTGGTCACATGTTAGGGTTGATCGGTGTATATAACTTATTTTATGTTGTTTTTATCTTCCTATTTGTATTAAACCGTTGTATGAATTCTGAAGGTCAGAAGGTTCGCGTTTCTTGGGTTACATTATATATCTATTTCTCATTGTTATCTTAGTCCGTCCAGTTCAACGAAAACTTGAGATCAAAATCGACCGAATTCACTCTGGCAAAATTTCTGCAAAAATTTACAATCACAAAAATAAAAATAGATCTGCATTTCTATTGAATTTCCAGAAGTTCCATCATCCCGCCCCTAATAACCAGATCCACCCACCTAGAAGTCTGTAAACGTACTTATCGATGATTGCCCATAGGACGGACTTCCTTCAGGCCCCCGTTCACACCATGGCGTTTTCGTGCGCGCTGAAAACGCACAGCACAAGAAATACCACATATTCCTATGGCCCCCTGTTCACACATACGCGCGGATTCACGCGACACAATTATTTGGTGCGTTTTACCTGCGTTTGACAATGCGTGAATGAAGCCTAATGCACTGACGCAATGTCACTCAGCCCTGAGGATATGCCACCACTCTCGCCGAGCCTGCCGTCCGAACTACAACTCGACGTCTGAACATTGCTCGTCATTGTTCGCTGGGAGCAATGCATGATGGGATATGCAGTCTTGAGAAATGGAGATTGCATCACATCAAGCAGCGGGGAAAGAGACGCCACCCCACGTTCACATGTATGCAAACGCGTTCCCTCTAGTGTGTACGTGTGCGGAAAAACTAACATTGCCCAATACGCACTGAGTGATAGGAAAATCATTCACACTAGTGACCTGCAAAGGCAGCGACCTCCATTTTACTCTCCCGGGGTCTCTGCTTTTCGGGAAATAAATCACGTTTTGGGGGGTTTTAGGTAAACTTCAGGCCTAAATTGTTTTTAAAGGCTTCGGCAGCAAAGCGGTTAGAACAGCGGCGTCACAAGGGGGGTGCGGCCCGCACCCGGGTGACACCATTGGAGGGGTGACACCAAAATGACTGAGAGTCATTTTGGTGTCACCCCCCCCTTAAAAGTCGGGCGCTTGGTCATGGACCGAACGCCCGACAGTATAACCCGCATGCGCAGTGGCGAGGTGGCACTCGGTAACCGCTCCGGGTGTCACCCAGCCTCGGGACGCCCCTGGGTTAGAAATCAATATTTTTTTTTTTAAGTCTACGGGTCCTCCACGTTCAAAAAATATATATTTTGGCAGCCGAGTGAATAACCGAGACAAAGTGCAGTGCGGCGAACGACGTTCGGCTAGTCACTACAGCTCAGTACGGCTAATTTCAACCATACATCGGCTGCCTTCCGTCAGGTGAACATGCTCTATATGCGTGGCTGAGCCGAAGTGCAGAGGGACTCCGACTCAGCTAATCCAACATCTCTGGATCGGCTGAGCCGAAGCTCCGCCAGCTCACTCGGTGCCGCTCGCTCGTTCTCATAAGGGCCGAACTGCAGTGAGTGAACAGCCGATTGCAGCCGAGCGGCATGTGGCTCGGCACCCCCGTGGTACCGAGCAGAATAGAA